TACAAGGGGAACACGCACAAGGGGACACAGGTAGAAACTGAGTGCCCAAATGAGCCAGAGACGTTAGAATGAAAAATTCTTTTTGTATCAGAGTAGTAGACAAATGGAATGCATTAGGAAGTGATGTGGTGGAGGCTGACTCCATACACAGCTTTAAGTGTAGATATGATAGAGCCCAATAGGCTCAGGAATCTGTACACCTGTTGATTGTCATTTGAGAGGCGGAACCAAAGAGCCAGAGCTCAATCCTCGCAAGCACAACTAGGTAAGAACACACACACACACCAGTTGAGAGGCGGGACCAAAGAGCCAGAGCTCAACCCCCGCAAGCACAACTAGGTAAGAACACACACACACACCAGTTGAGAGGCGGGACCAAAGAGCAGAGCTCAACCCCCGCAAGCACGACTAGGTGAGTACACACGTACCATACCATAGATACAACCTCAAATATTATTGATAATTTATCTAGTAAGATAAGGGAATAAAGCAGACGATCAAATAATGTATCCCCCGAGACTCGCACAAGATATATCGTCTTCCGCGATACTTCAGACCAGGTCGAAGACGCTCCCCAGACAATGCTTTTATAACTTGAAAGGTTTCCAATAACATTTATTAAACTCTGCAAGATTCAATCGTCTCCCCTGGGAAAGAAAATGGAAATTTCATCCGCGCGATATTTTCTTTCATATGTAATTCTTATTCAATACAGTAACAGCTTTGCCTTAGAAGTTAAGACAAACGTATATGAGTGGAGTTAAGAGGTCCAGGAAGCACTCAGCACTACGTTAGAGACAAGACAAGACACGTCGACTGTCTTTGAACAACCTGTCCTCTTACAAAGAACGTCGCTTTTCACTCGTATGCGTTACATTAGGCCTAAAACTGTCGTACTAGAAAATGGAAGCGGCTGGCGAAAGTGACGTACTGTCTGTCCCGTTTTCTGTTTTGGGTCCTCTGGTAGGTTAGGGGAGACCACTTTAAATTGCCCGCTTTCTTAACGTTGGTAAAGCTTAGCAGGACGGGCTGCTTTGAGGGCTATAGTGAACCTACTTCCATCAAGGGCTGTAAGGCCAGTAGTCACTGTTGGTAAGGCCAGTAGTCACTGTTGGTAAGGCCAGCAGTCACTGCTGGTAAGTACTGGTAGGAGAGTACTCTCAAGGACTCGCCAGTACCGCGCTCATTTCCTTACACACTCCGGATATGTACACGAGCCATCCACCCACACATGGGCGAGCTGATGTACAGTAAAACTCTTTAAAACCTTCCAAGTATGTTGCCCGCAGATAAATTTGATCGCGAATTCTCCGAATAACAGAAAATCTTTTTAGTCTCTGGATAAGTCCGCAAAGCTTTTACAGTCTGTAAAAGATTCACTTGGTGCTGCTTACTAAATAACTAAGTAATGCTGCAAAGTTTCCATTTACTGACCTTTAGATTTCAGTTCTTTATTCCAACTTTTCCTTCTGTGTTCGTACACACACACACACACACACACGTACTGCGTGACGTACGTGTGTGTGTGTGTGTGTGTGTGTGTGTGTGTGTGTGTGTGTGTGTGTGTGTGTGTGTGTGTGTGTGTGTGTGTGTGTGTGTGAACGTGTGTAAACGTACACTGCTGCGGGAAATGCACCTTACGACACTGGAAGACAGAAGAGTAAGGGGAGACATGATCACTACCTACAAAATCCTAAGGGTACTCGACCGGGTAGACAACGATACACTATTCAACACTGGTGGTACGCGAACAAGGGGACACAGGTGGAGACCGAGTACCCACATGAGCCACAGAGACGTTAGAAAGCACTTTTTCAGTGTCAGAGTAGTTAACAGATTTAATGCATTAGGCAGTGATGTGGTGAAGGCTGACTCCATACACGGTTTCAAATGTAGATATGATAGAGCCCAGTAGGCTCAGGAATCTTTACACCAGTTGACAGTTGAGAGGCGGGACCAAAGAGCCAGAGCTCAACCCCCACAAGTACAAATAGGTGAGTACACACACACACACACACACACAGTGGAAATAACCCAGGCAGCCTTGGAAGGATTCGAAATTACCAGAGATAAGAGGTATCTGTTGGCTGTGTACACGAGATACCTCTTCAGTGTTACTGAGTACAGGGTGTAGCAAGACTGACCTGGAGTCTACAGTTTACCTACAGTACATGGACCAACAATGACAAGATCTGGCACCTTGTTTACAGAGAGTGTATCATCATAACGTTAAAGGGAAGCAAATATCCTAACCCACACACATGGAATTATATACAAGGGACGACTTTTGGTCCGTCCTGGTTGGTCCCGGTCCGTCCCGGTCCGTCCCGGTCCGTCCCGGTCCGTCCCGGTCACTCCCGGTCACTCCCGGTCACTCCCGGTCACTCCCGGTCCGTCCTGGTCACTCCCGGTCCGTCCAGGTCAGTCCTGGTCCATCCCGGTCCGTCCTGGTCCCTTATCAAGTCGTTAGTGTCCACGCCGGACTAAGCATCGCAGTTTATGAAGGTGTGAGCCATGACAGTTACAAAGGGAGAACTGATGCTATACTCGACACAAGTTTAACAACAGGCAGGTGAAGCCGAGCATGTATTCCTCCACTCTATTTTGTCAGCTGTAATTGAAAGCATTTCGTTATGTCTCACAGGTGTTTTTGATTAGTTAGTTTGTAGCAATTATTGTGCAGAGACATTTCAGATATATTTGAAGATATGAGATTGAGTGAAGCGTGCTGTGAGGACTTGTTAAGAACTGCAAGTGTCTTAAATGTTATGACTAATGTTAATTGTAAATTTATCGTGGTGATAAATGAATAGTGCAACAGCCTGGTGGACCAAACTCTCAAGTCGAGCCTGGCTTCGGGCCGGGCTTGGGGAGTAGAAGAACTCCCAGAACCCCATCAACCAGGTATATGTGGGCCTGCGGGCCGCTCCAAGCAACAGCCTGGTGGACCAAACTCTCACAAGTCGAGCCTGGCTTCGGGCCGGGCTTGGGGAGTAGAAGAACTCCCAGAACCCCATCAACCAGGTATATGTGGGCCTGCGGGCCGCTCCAAGCAACAGCCTGGTGGACCAAACTCTCACAGGTCGAGCCTGGCTTCGGGCCGGGCTTGGGGAGTAGAAGAACTCCCAGAACCCCATCAACCAGGTATATGTGGGCCTGCGGGCCGCTCCAAGCAACAGCCTGGTGGACCAAACTCTCACAAGTCGAGCCTGGCTTCGGGCCGGGCTTGGGGAGTAGAAGAACTCCCAGAACCCCATCAACCAGGTATATGTGGGCCGGCGGGCCGCTCCAAGCAACAGCCTGGTGGACCAAACTCTCACAAGTCGAGCCTGGCTTCGGGCCGGGCTTGGGGAGTAGAAGAACTCCCAGAACCCCATCAACCAGGTATATGTGGGCCTGCGGGCCGCTCCAAGCAACAGCCTGGTGGACCAAACTCTCACAAGTCGAGCCTGGCTTCGGGCTGGGCTTGGGCAGTAGAAGAACTCCCAGAACCCCATCAACCAGGTATCAACCAGGTACCTGACGCCACAACACGGGTCGAGATGTGTGATGACGTCCCGCTAGCCTCAGCTACACCACAGGTGGATAGGCTGAGACCGATGTCTCGGCTACACCACAAGTGGATAGACCGAGACCGATGTCTCCGCTACACCACAGGTGGATAGACTGAGATCCATGTCTCAGCTACACCACAGGTGGATAGACTGAGACCCATGTCTCAGCTACACCACAGGTGGATAGGCTGAGACCCATGTCTCAGCTACACCACAGGTGGATAGGCTGAGACCCATGTCTCAGCTACACCACAGGTGGATAGACCGAGACCCATGTCTCAGCTACACCACAGGTGGATAGACCGAGACCCATGTCTCGGCTACACCACAGGTGGATAGGCTGAGACCCATGTCTCAGCTACACCACAGGTGGATAGACTGAGACAGATGTCTCAGCTACACCACAGGTGGATAGGCTGAGACAGATGTCTCAGCTACACCACAGGTGGATAGGCTGAGACCCATGTCTCAGCTACACCACAGGTGGATAGACCGAGACCGATGTCTCGGCTACACCACCGGCGGATAGACTGAAACAGTTGCATAAATTATACTGTCATTAAGATTGTCTATAATATCATTTATCGTATAGGTTTTATGTTCACAATACATATGAGAACACCATTAATCAACACCTGGTACAGTCTCTTGAGACGTCCTGTCTGCCTCCTGACACATATAGCAAGGACATGTCTAACTATATATCCTTCATTAAATACATAATCAACACTATAGTCTATATCAGGACTATAGTGTTGGTGATGGTACAAGCACCAAGTTCATCGCGAGAGAGGTCGAAACCCCAAGTCTATTGGGTGACATAACCGGTCTATCGAAAAAAGGGGTCTCTTAGCTTAAAAAAAAAGCCTCTTATCCACTGTATAATGTTCATAGTGTCCATTCAAGAAAAGATTTTCAAAAAATTGTCAATAACAGGCAAACTGTGCTGAGCGCTGAAGTGGTTCAGGCAACCTCATTTTTTTTATATAGAGAGAAACCCTTTTTCATTTTTTAAAACGATTCAGATTGTGTTTAAAAGTTGAAAAGATAAAATTGAAATCATTGTATTTTTAAGGTAATGCTGATCATGGTTTTCAAAATATTTTGAAGTACCATGAAGGTACTTTTGAAGGTCGAAGTACAAACTCTATCGTGTGTAGGTGTGGGAGACACAGCGAGGCTGTGTATAGTGTGCTGGCTGACTAAAGCATTGAATCTATCGCGTGTGAGAGTGGTAAGACTCCATCCGGTCAGTCGTATAGACAGACGCTCGCAAAAACATAAAAGTCTATATTGAGACGTGAGACAAATTCATCCAGTCTTTCATGTGGGGTTCGGTAAGAGAATCGTGGCTATCGTGTAAGATGGCAGAATCCCTGAATCTATCGTTTGGGACTGCCAGAATCATAGGAGTCTATCGTTTGAGGGGATACTAGAGCACTGAATCTATCGTGTGGGCTGTGTAAAGATCATCCAGTCTGTCTTTAAGGTGGCAGAAGCATCTTGAAAGAGATCAATCTTGTGTTGGGAAGAAGGATCATACACTCCATGTGGGAGGTGACACGTGTAGGAGGTGACACGTGTGGGAGGTGACACGTGTGGGAGGTGACACGTGTAGGTGACACGTGTAGGAGGCGACACGTGTAGGAGGCGACACGTGTAGGAGGCGACACGTGTAGGAGGCGACACGTGTAGGAGGCGACACGTGTAGGAGGCGACACGTGTAGGAGGCGACACGTGTAGGAGGCGACACGTGTAGGAGGCGACACGTGTAGGAGGCGACACGTGTAGGAGGCGACACGTGTAGGAGGCGACGCGTGTAGGAGGCGACGCGTGTAGGAGGCGACGCGTGTAGGAGGCGACGCGTGTAGGAGGCGACGCGTGTAGGAGGCGACGCGTGTAGGAGGCGACGCGTGTAGGAGGCGACACGTGTAGGAGGCGACACGTGTAGGAGGCGACACGTGTAGGAGGCGACACGTGTAGGAGGCGACACGTGTAGGAGGCGACACGTGTAGGAGGCGACACATGTAGGAGGCGACACATGTAGGAGGCGACACATGTAGGAGGCGACACGTGTAGGAGGCGACACGTGTAGGAGGCGACACGTGTAGGAGGCGACACGTGTAGGAGGCGACACGTGTAGGAGGCGACACGTGTAGGAGGCGACACGTGTAGGAGGCGACACGTGTAGGAGGCGACACGTGTAGGAGGCGACACGTGTAGGAGGCGACACGTGTAGGAGGCGACACATGTAGGAGGCGACACATGTAGGAGGCGACACATGTAGGAGGCGACACATGTAGGAGGCGACACATGTAGGAGGCGACACATGTAGGAGGCGACACGTGTAGGAGGCGACACGTGTAGGAGGCGACACGTGTAGGAGGCGACACGTGTAGGAGGCGACACGTGTAGGAGGCGACACGTGTAGGAGGCGACACGTGTAGGAGGCGACACATGTAGGAGGCGACACATGTAGGAGGCGACACATATAGGAGGCGACACATGTAGGAGGCGACACATGTAGGAGGCGACACATGTAGGAGGCGACACATGTAGGAGGCGACACATGTAGGAGGCGACACATGTAGGAGGCGACACATGTAGGAGGCGACACATGTAGGAGGCGACACATGTAGGAGGCGACACATGTAGGAGGCGACACATGTAGGAGGCGACACATGTAGGAGGCGACACATGTAGGAGGCGACACATGTAGGAGGCGACACATGTAGGAGGCGACACATGTAGGAGGCGACACATGTAGGAGGCGACACATGTAGGGGGACAAGAGCCGGAACTTCATGTGATGCTGAAAACTGTTATTATTATTTTTATTATATTGTTCGTGTCATTAAAGTTCGTGTGATATTACTGTTTACTTGTCGGGATCGAGGAGCGACCAGCCACCAGCCAGTTACTTGGTCCTCGCGACTTTAACACTGTTTACCGGGACTTATTTTGTGTTTGTGTAAACAGCATGGCGGCTGATACTTGCTCGTCCCTTGTGTTGACTCGCTGGCCTTGTTCAGACACCGCTGGAAACAACACTCGTGGGTCGTGTTATCATCACTTTGATTTGTATATAAAAAAAATACATTTTTCATACAGATTTCCCCTCCTTCACGTTTCTATGTACATTTCGCTAATATTGTTCTTATATATATTTTTTATTCCCTCCTTCCTATCCCACATAGATTGCCTCTCCTTCTCCTTCCTATCCCACATAGATTGCCTCTCCTCCTCCTTCCTATCCCACATAGATTGCCTCCCCTTCTCTTTCCTATCCCACATAGATTGCCTCTCCTTCTCCTTCCTATCCCACACTGATTGCCTCTCCATCTCTCTCCCACAGATTCCTTCCCCCTTCTTGCAAGCAAAATTCTCCCTCCCTCACACCTTACTGCTTCCCTCCCCCCAGATATCACTTCCCTCACTCCCCCTCCCCCCCAGGTATCACCTCCCTCCCCCTCCCCCCAGGTGTCACCTCCCTCACTCCCCCCTCCCCCCAGGTGTCACCTCCCTCACTCCCCCCTCCCCCCAGGTATCACCTCCCTCACTCCCCCTCCCCCCAGGTATCACCTCCCTCACTCCCCCTCCCCCCAGGTATCACCTCCCTCACTCCCCCTCCCCCCAGATATCACCTCCTTCACTGCTTCCCTCCCCCCCAGATATCACCTCCTTCACTGCTTCCCTCCCCCCAGATATCACCTCCCTCACTCCCCCTCCCCCCAGGTATCACCTCCCTCACTCCCCCTCCCCCCAGATATCACCTCCCTCACTCCCCCTCCCCCCAGGTATCACTTCCCTCACTCCCCCCTCCCCCCAGGTATCACTTCCCTCACTCCCCCCTCCCCCCAGGTATCACTTCCCTCACTCCCCCCTCCCCCCAGGTATCACCTCCCTCACTCCCCCTCCCCCCAGATATCACCTCCCTCACTCCCCCCTCCCCCCAGATATCACCTCCCTCACTCCCCCTCCCCCCAGGTATCACCTCCCTCACTCCCCCTCCCCCCAGATATCACCTCCCTCACTCCCCCTCCCCCCAGGTATCACCTCCCTCACTCCCCCTCCCCCCAGGTATCACCTCCCTCACTCCCCCTCCCCCCAGGTATCACCTCCCTCACTCCCCCTCCCCCCAGGTATCACCTCCCTCACTCCCCCTCCCCCCCAGATATCACCTCCCCCCCCCATACTTAACGTGCAGCACAACAGGGCCTCGCAACACACTGTATTCTCAGCAAATATCCAGTTCCCAGTCAAATGTTCCAATGGTTCAGCTTCATGGCCTGATGGCCTGCGAACTTTTAGCATTAAGAGACGGCTCTTCCTGCCCGTTGCTTTTCCCCGTGATCCATATTATATATATATATATATATATATATATATATATATATATATGTGTGTGTGTGTGTGTGTGTGTGTGTGTGTGTGTGTGTGTGTGTGTGTGTGTGTGTGTGTGTGTGTACTCACCTAGTTGTGTTTACGGGGGTTGAGCTCTGGCTCTTTTCAGGTGTACAGATTCCTGAGCCTATTGGGCTCTATCATATCTACACTTGAAACTGTGTATGGAGTCAGCCTCCACCACATCACTTCCTAATGCATTCCATTTGTCAACCACTCTGACACTAAAAAAGTGTGTGTGTGTGTGTGTGGCTCAGGTGTGTGTGTGTGTGTGTGTGTGTGTGTGTGTGTGTGTGTGTGTGTGTGTGTGTGTGTGTGTGTGTGTGTGTGTGTGAAAGGCTACATGAAAGCGCAGGCCATAGATCACTAAGAACTCGAAATGACCCGACCAGGATTCGAACCCATGACGTTCAGGCTCACCCCCTAAACGTACACCGTACCGTGACCACTGCACCATTGATTTTCTATGAAGATCAATGGTATGAAAGATGTGCTAACAGGCAGAACGATTTCCGTTCTTTTCAAATATTTCTAAATTCGATCTTTTCTAACAATAATAATATATTAGGAACATGATATTAATATATTAGGAACATGATATAATATTAGGCTATGTAGGTTAGGATAGATTAAGATTGATTAGGTTTGGTCAAATTTCTATGTTATTTTTATCTCAAATTACAATTTCAATCATATATAATACAATGAAAACATTTCATTGTATTATATATTTATATTATATATTTATATCATTTCATAATTTTTTTTTAAATTAAATATTTTACGAAAATTCGGCTTGTTAGGCATCTTTCGCTGTCAGGCACTGTATGTGCAACATTGATGATATATTGCCGGTAGTATGCAGAATATCCTCAGTGAAAAATGAAAGGTAAAAAAAACTTAGCGCTTTCAACTCATTCGAGCCTTGCTGGCCTGCAGGGGATAGTAAGCAGAGCACTGTAGCAGAGCACTGTAGCAGAGCACTGTAGCAGAGCACTGTAGCAGAGCACTGTAGCAGAGCACTGTAAGCTTGGCAGTGTAGGATTGGAACCTTCCACCACCAAACATCACAATCACTCCAAACATCTAGCATTTACGATTCATTACGGTACATATTCCCGACTGTCCAAGTGGTTGGGCACCATTCATCCCTTCCCCCCCCCGGTTCCATCCCAAATCCTTATCCTGACCCCTTCCAAGTGCTACAAGTCGTAATGGCTTGGCGCTTTCCCGCTGACAATTAAAATTACGGGCTATTCATGCCCGTGCCACATCTTGGGTGGCTTAATCTTCATCAGCCACCAATCAGGTGGAAGCTGCGAGGTACCCGGCCTTCAAAAAGAGACCGCCGGCGTCACATCTTACACGGGGAGACATCTCCCGTCACGCAGGGGGCAGTCACACCTCCACAGATCTCCAGTATCAGCTCTTGATACTGGTAATGGCTCAAATGGGCCACCACTTACGGGCTATTCATGCCCGTGCCACCTTTTGGGTGGCTTAATCTTCATCAATCAATCACATATTTTTGGCTCAACCCGATCCACATATGTAGGGATATTATCATGGGTAAAGTGCCAAGCCGTTACGACTATATAGCCCTTGGAAGGGGATAAGGATATGGGATGGGACGGGCGGAAGGAATGGTACCCAACCACTTGGACGGTCAGGGACTGAACGCCGACCTGCATGAAGTGATCTGGCACCACTCCCTCCCAACGCCCTATCCAAAAATCCGTATCCTAGCCTCTCCCAAGTACTATTTATAGTCGTTATGGCTTGGCGATTTCTCCTCATAATTCCTTTCCCTTCCGTACTCTGAAGGACTTGCCAAACTTTCACCGCTTTAGAAGACTTACTATTAATTTGGCGTTCAAAAACAACAATGGGATTAAGTCCATTATTTTCAAGAACTCGCTTGAGTCTGCTACAGGTTGTGTGCTTTAAATAGTTTTGATAGAATACTTTGGTAGGACTACTTTTGATAGAATTTACCTACTTAAAATTATCTGTTAGATTAAGGACCTGCCCGAAACGCTGCGCGTACTAGTGGCTTTACAAGAGTGCAATTACTGTACCATGCTATGTATTCTCACAAACCCAATGTACCTTCTTGTATATAAATAAATAAATAAATAAATGTGTGTACTCGATCCCATGAAAAGACAGTTCAAACACATCGGCCAGAATGGTAAATTATTGGAATCGCGTTTATCCAAACACCGTTTCTCAGTTCGAACTACACAACAGTCCACTGCATTATATTTACATGTCAGGCTTTGTGACCATACCATTAACTGGGACTCAAAATGTGTTGCTAGTTCGAGGGTCGTGGTTGAACGAAATGTGATTGAATCGGCCGTAATTAATCACTGTCTCAATACCATTAACGTTAGCCCTGGCCTATATAAACTTGATTCATTTTTCGTCCTCAATATTGCACAAATCCTAACAAAAAATAACTGGAGTTGCACCCCTCGAACACATGGTGTCTTAGTTTATTGTTGATGAACATTAATCATTTAATCCCCGTGGTGCAGTGGTAAGACACTCGCCTGGCGTTCCGCGAGCGCTTTGTCATGGGTTCGTATCCAGGCCGGGGAGGATTTACTGGGCGCAAATCCTTAACTGTAGCCTCTGTTTAACTCAACAGTAAAATGTGTACTTGGTTGTAACAACGATTCTTCGCGGCGGGGATCGTATTCCAGGGACCTGCCCGAAACGCTACGCGTACAAATTATGGATAGCTTCGTCTAGATCCCTATACAAGCCGAACTGCCATTCAGATACCTGTACCCAAGTCTTATTCGAGCTGTGACAACGTCTGTTAGTCGTGGTTCAATGTCTTGACGATTGTGATGGTGCTGTGGTACAGAGTGCGGGGGTAGAGCTCTGGCTCTTTGGTCCCGCCTCTCAACTGTCAATCAACTGATGTACAGGTTCCTGAGCCTATTGGGCTCTATCATATCTACACTTGAAACTGTGTATGGAGTCAGCCTCCACCACCTCACTTCCTAATGCATTCCATTTGTCAACTACTCTGACGCTAAAGAAGTTGTTTCTAATATCTCTGTGGCTCATTTGGGCACTCAGTTTCCACCTGTGTCCCCTGTGCGTGTGCCCCTTGTGTTAAATTTTTAGCCTGTCTTTATCTACCCTATCAATTCCCTTCAGAATCTTGAATGTGGTGATCATGTCCCCCCTAACTCTTCTGTCTTCCAACGAAGTGAGGTTTAATTCCCGTAGTCTCTCCTCGTAGCTCATACCTCTCAGCTCGGGTACTAGTCTGGTGGCAAACCTTTGAACCTTTTCCAGTTTAGTCTTATGCTTGACTAGATATGGACTCCATGCTGGAGCCG